GGCTCTGTGATGAGCCTTCCGATAGACTCTTCCCTCGGCCAACATTGAGAGTCTAAGGATGTTTGTGGAGATCGGAAGGTGAAGTTAGGATTTAGTACTGATATGGAAGATTCATTTATAAAATTTTCTGTATTATTTTGTTGATTGGTTAACGAGTTTGTTATAGCCGATAGTATTTGCCCCATAGGCTGGATATTTTGTCATAGTGATCAGGTTCATCAAGCAAAGTTGATAGACATTTTTAAATGGATATTTGGATTATTTTGGAATTCTGTGCTCTTGATTTAAGTTTCATATTAAATCTAAATTTCTGGCCATGGGGGCTATCCTTATAGAAAGATAGAAACATTAAAAAATGCTGTACTGCCTGCAAGGACTTGAATCAATAGTTCACTTGACAGAGTAATATTGTTGAGCCCGTATTATGTTTAGTAAACTGTGTCATACATTAGCAGAGTAGGAGATAATTGAGAAACCTAGGACACAGTCTTTGCACTTAAGACTACTATGTCTTTAGAAACTTGAATTAGTAGTTTTTAAATAAATGCATTAATACATAATGTTTATAATTTGTAAGAAATTATGAAAACTAATGGACTTATTTTTTGTTCTCTTCAGTGTCCCCATAGGCTAGAATAACCATGTGGATAAGTAGGTCCTCTGTGCATATTTGAATGAATGACCAAATGACCATGTACTGTACATGCAGTCAGAGCTATTGGAATCAAGTAGAAGTTCATCACTTTTAGCTGGTTAGTCAGGGAAGGCTTCATGGTGTGGGTGGGATTTTAATTTATGAGAGAGAGGGAGTGCCATCTAGAAATAGGGAATGGTGTAGAGGCTCCTGAGAAGATATTGGAAGCTGACAATGGAAGTGTAGCAATGGTGGGTGATAGAGGTGAGTTTTGGAAAGCCTTGCAAGACAAATTTAATTTTTCTCGTGAAGACAAGGAAGAGTAAAAGAGATATTTTAGAACTATTAATCTAGAAAGGTTCTATCAGATACATTGAAGAAATGCACATAGATAAGACTTGATGATTGAGTTGCTGAGGGAAAGATCGTAGTCAAAGGTGGTTACAATCTTTTATTGAGCTTAGTTGACTTGGGATAATAGTAAAAGCATAAACAAATAGGAAAGTTAAAGGGAAAAATTAACTGTTTTTATCCTTTTTTTTGACTTAATCTTTTTTGTATTTTTTGCCCATTATCATTTAGTTCCCTTATAGTCCCTCCCACAGTCACCACACTGCTGTCCATGTCCATGAGTCCTTTTTCCTTTTTGCTTCACCCCTCCACCCCTTACACTACCCCGGACCCTTAGCTGTCATCCTGCTCTCTATCTATGAGTCTGTCTTTGTTTTGTTTGTTAGTTCAGTTTGTTCATTAGATTCCATATGAGTAAAATCATATGGCATTTACCTTTTTCTGACTGGCTTATTTCATTTAGCATAATGTTCTCCAGGTGTAGCCATACTGCTGCAAAGGGAGACATTTACACAATGAAATATTACTTGGCTGTAAAAAAGAAAATTAACTTTCTATGGGAAGATTTTTCTGTTTTAAATCTTTTAATGTTTGAAGTAACAGGTATACTTCATTGTGGACCAAGAGAAATCACAGAAGCACTGGTTATGTGACTGCAGAGGTCTAATGTGGTCTATGAAAAATACATAGACCTGATGTGAGTAGGATTAGACCAAAATACAGTTCTGTTATTTAACTGGAGTTAATATGGTATATCACATTAATTTATTTGCATATGTTGAACCATCCTTGCATACCAGTGGTAATTTTCACTTGATCTTGGCATATGATCCTTTTAATGTGTTGTTGAATTTGGTTTACTACTATTTTGTTGAGAATTTTTATATTTCAATTTATGAGGGCACTGGCCTAGAATTTTTTTTTCTTGTCGTGTCCTTTTCTGGCTTTGGTATCAGAGTAATGTTGACTTCATAAAATGAGTTTGGAAGTGTTTTCTCCTCTTTAGTTTTTTGGCAGAGTTTGAAAAGAACTAGCATTAATTTTCTTTAAATGTTTGGTAAAATTCACCTATGAAGCCATCTTGTCCTGGGCTTTTGTTTATTGGAAGGTTTTTAATTACTGATAATAATAAATCTTACTTGTTATTGGTCTGTTTAGATTTTCTGTTTGTTCATGATTCAGCTTAGAAGGTTGTATGTTCTAGGAATTTATCCATTTCTCCTAGGTTGTCTAATTTGTTGGCATATAATTGTTCATAGTAATCTTTTATGATCCTTTGTATTTCTGTGGTATCAGTTATAATGTCTCATCTTCCACTTACAATTTTATTATTTTAGTACTTGATCTTTTTTATTGTTAAAGTCCACCTAAGTTTTTATCTATTTTGTTTATCTTTTAAAAAACTCTTAGTTTTATTGATTTTTAAATTGTTTTTCTATCTATATTTCATTTATTTCTGCTCTGATCTTTGTCATCTTTGTTACCTTCTTCTGTTAACTTTGGGCTTAGTTCTTGTTTTTCTAGTTCATTGAGATGTAAAGTTAGTCCGTTAACTTGAAATCTTTTTAATTTTTAAATTTAAGTGTAGTTAACATACAATATTATATTATATTAAATTCAGGGGTACAATGTAGTGATTTGACATTTATATACTTTATGATGTGATCACCACAGTAAGTCTAGTAACTAGATGCAATATGAAGTTATTATAATATTATTGACTATACTCCTTTTTTTCTTAATACAGGCATTTATTGCTCTTAACTTACCTTTTAGCACTGCTGCTTCTATATCCATAAGTTTTGATGTTGTTTCCATTTTTGTTTATTTCAAGATATTTTTTACTTCCTTTTTGATTGTATTTTTGACTCATTAGTTGTTTAGGAATGTGTTCTTTAATTTTTACATATTTGTCAATTTTCCAGTTTTCATCTTTCTGATTTCTAGTTTCATGCCATTGTGGTCAGAAAAGATACTTAGTATGGATTCCAGTCTTTTAAAATTTGCTGAGACTTGTTTTGTGACCTAACATATAGTCTGTCCTAGAGAACATTCCATATGCACTTGAGAAAAATACATATTCTGGTGCTGTTGGATGGAATGTTCTGTGTATGTGTGTTAGTTCCATTTGATCTAAAGTATAGTTCAAATCCAGTGTTTCCTTACTGGTTTTCTGTCTACATGATCTATCCATTGTTGCAAGTGGAGTATCAAAGTCCCCTGCTATTATTGTATTGCTGTCTATAACTCCTCTGAAGTCTGTTAGTATTTGCTTAAGATATTTAGGTGCTCAAATATCTTCGCCTCCAGTCATCTGCCTTTCTGAGTCCACTGCTCAGTGGAAAGAGTTGAGAGACTGAATGGACACGAGTGATGAGCTCCCTTGTGCTTTTCCTCAGTGAAGGGAGACAAGGAAGAGAGTGAGTGGGAAATGCATAGCATGAGAATAGACGAGAACCAGCCCTTTTACAGTAAAGTGAAAGAGAGTAATTAAACCTTGACCATTGCTAACAGGAAAACAAAATGGCCATGAAATATCAACATCTTCTAGTTTACTATCATAAGCCTAACTCTTCCTTGAAGAGTTTCCTATTTTATAAATTCTAGTGACAGCACTGAGATTAAAAAGAATATTAGTTTTATGAGTGCTAAGAGTTAGTTAACAACCAACTGACAGGCAAACACTATAAAATCAGTGACCCTAAGTAGTTAGCTGATAGGGAAATCTTGATCCCCTGGCATTTAGTAGTGGAGAAGGAGAGGCGGACACAGATCTAGTTGGTGAATTCATGTCTGAGGCTCCAGGTGGTGGGCACATGAACTTCAATAGCAGCAATTGGCCTTGGATAAGAGAAAAACAAAAATTCCGTGTAGAAATGAGAAAATTCCAGCATTATAGGTAGAATATTTTTAGACTGGGGCTTATGAACTACTTTTCAACCTGAAGTCTTCAGGAATAGGCAGTCTTCTGCTTCTGCAAATTCCCCATGAAAAGCCACGCCAATGTTCTTTGATTTGTAGATTTAATTTACCAGATTGAAGGACATTTGCCCTTTTTAAGTGAACTGGCCGGCCCATGCATGCTGGGTTTCTATGGCAGTATGATCTCAGTGACCTCTCTTCTCTGTTGTGGAATGTAGGTGATAAGAATGGAAGTGAGCCTGATGATGCTGAACTGGTAAAGCTCAGTAAGAGGCTGGTGGAGAATGCAGTGCTCAAGGCTGTCCAGCAGTATCTGGAAGAAACACAGAACAAAAACAAGCCAGGGGATGGGAACTCTGTGAAAACTGAAGAGGCTGGTAGGAATGGCACTGACAATGACAACAACAGGAAATGAGACCCAAAGGCAGGCAGGCCCCGCTACTACGTGAGAGGCATCCCTGCTCCCCTCTGCTGAGTTGATGGACTGATTTGCAACGTGCTGTTGAAGTGTCTCTTGTCCCGTCTGTGGAGGTTGCCTGATGCTTTCATGATCAATGTGTTTGCATTTCTGAAACTCAACAGAAGAAAAACGGAGTGCTGGGACTAGCAGAGAAAATTAATTTATGAAAGAAGAATGGTCCAATTTTCACTTGCCCTCAGCCATGGCCGGGGAGAGGGGACTTTGGGTTATGCCTCATGGACTCAAAGGCTGTGGAAGGGCCTTGCCATAATTGGAATACTGCCGTTTATATTGCTTAGCAGGGCATTTGACTACTTTATCTGAGGCCAACACACACACACAGCTAACAAGTGCTAAGTTTAAAATAATCACTGTTGAGGTTATACATATAGTCAGTCTGTAACGTTTTATGTTTGTCCTACGTCTGCTGTCACTATGCAGTGATCTTTATTTACAGCAAATTTGTTTCAGGTAAATAATATATTTTTGGCAAAATGCAACCTTTTCTATAAAAACGTGGGCAACATTTTAAAGGTTTCTTTTTAACCCTCTTTTGATAAGTCAGTGTGCCACATTTAATGTTTTTCATTGGTGTTCGTATGTAAAATGTTTCATAAATCTTTTTTTCTGTAGGCAAGAGACGTATTGGAATCCGGGACTTAATTAAGGAAGCTTTGCATCAAGAAAGAATGGTTCTGAAGTCCAAAGTGAAACAGATAAGAGAACTTTTATTAAAGCCTGAGATTCAGGCCAAAATTAGAAGGGAGCTTTTTGAAGGAAGACCCATTAACAGCAGTAATCAAGAAAATGATGTTGATTTCCGTGCAACTTTGACATAAGGTCTGCCTTAATATCATGGTACCAGTTTATGAAATGTTTTTGGCTGATTAAATAGCTCTTTGGTAAATGCCAAAGAAGTGCTTTGATAGTGTCTTTACTATAGCACACCAACATTGGGTAAGGATTTCACAACTTCTTGCCAAAGAAAACTGATTCTGTCCTGTTATTTTTATTTTTAAAGCTAAATGTGTGTGGGAATGTTTGTTTCTCTAGTATCAAGGGTTATTTTATAAAAAGTACTTCTTAATTAGCTGTTGTAAAATGGTCCTTGGGTCTTCACAGATAAAATATACAGACTGTGAGAAATCATTTACAGATTAAAAAAATAGAGTATTTAAAGAGTCACTTGCTTCCTGTTGACATGATTTTTGTTGTAATAGTAAATCAAAAAGAAGTATCGTCCACACATGACCGTATCTGGTGTTACTTTAATGGGAATTTGAATGTTTATTGAATACTAGTACTTGAATTATAAGTGTAATTATTGCAATTACTGGTTGAGAATGTTTTATAATAGCCATATGTATTATTTTTCAATGATCAAAATGTAGTTTGCCTTTTCATTTCTTAATGAATAAATGTTTGGGATTTTTATTTTATACTTTTCTGAAGATAAGCCCGGGTCTTATTGTATCCCTTATAATCTGAATTTGTTTGCACTGGATTATTTTTAAAGAAAATTGTTGAAAATTTTCCCCTTGTATGATAATCATTGTTAACAGCTTTTTCTACGATCATTGTAAAATGCTGCTACTGAGAGATCATGATAGAGGGGAAATTATTAGAGATCAAATATGTAACCATTTCAAATATAAAATCCAGTTTACTCCTGGAATTTAGCTATTTTTTCACTGGGTAAATTAACTACATTTATTTATAAATATGTTTTTGCATTTTCATGCTTCTTAATAAATGTATTGTTTTCCCTTGTCGCTTTTCCTCATTGTCTGTCACTCTTGGAAGTTGTTGGCTCTGTTGGTGTAAGAAAGTCTAAAGGCGGCTCTGCGGGTTTCAGGGTGTCTTTACCTGAGGTTCTCATCCTTTATGCTGAGACAGAGCAGTTGTCAGATCATGTTCAACTTCAGACTGTTAATCACTTCAGATCAGCTTCCCAGAGCATTAACAACACAAGGTTAAATGCAAAGAAAATATAAATAGCATCTCATCAACTGCTAATAATGTGTTACTAAAGTGACATTAGTAGCAAAGATGAGAGGAGCAGGTCCATTTGGATGCAAAGACCTGGGAGCTGCTTACCAGGAGACCCCGTTCAGTGGGAGAGGGCTTTGTCTGTAAGCCGAGATATGTGGGGACTTGCCTTGTTTTTCAAATGAGGAAACAAACTCCAGGTTGAGTGCATTATCCAAGCCACACTGCTTGCTGTGAGGGACCTGGCCCTGAACTACAACCGAGGGCCCCACCTTGAAATTCCAGAGCTATTTTCTTTTCTTTTTAAATCCTCACTTGAGGAGATGTTTATTGATTTTAGAGAGGAAGGGGTGGGGGAGAGAGAGAAAGAGAGAGAAAGATGGATGAGAGAGGGAAACATTGATCAGTTGCCTCTCATATGTGCCCTGACAGGGGATCAAACCTGCAACCGAGGTACGTGTCCTGATCAGAATCAAACCTGCAACCTCCTGGTGCATGGAATGATGCTCCAACCAACAGAGCTCTCCAGCCAGGGCTTCAGGGCTATTTTCACTGTCCCATAACCTAAGTTAACAATACTTCAGAGAAAGCCCTTCCCAGCATATATCTATAAATATCTTGTCCTCAAGGAGCTATTGCCATCTTTTCAAACAATTTGGAAGACTAAGAATATTTTTTTGATCTAGGGTTACATGCCATACTGTTATTGCAGTTAAGAATCATAGCTTCCATTTGTTAAATACCCGGCTGTGTGCCAGGTGATTTAGGCATGTTACTACATTTCTTTCCTTTATGTGACCACGTTCGGAAGTTGTACTGTTTTACAGATGACAAACTAAGAAACCGGGACTCTAAATGGTTAAATGGTTATAAAGCTAAATGGCTATTTATAAAGCCAATAAAAGGTAGGTCTAAATTTAAACTTGGATCTGTTCTACTTCAAAGTCATACTCTTTCCACAATGCACTTCCTCTCTCTACCAGGTACACTGTATTTCACAACTTCGGGATGTGTAACAAAGGGAAAGTCACTTTCTTTTGACTAAGCCAGCTTCCTTGTAGCCTTGAAGTTTTGTGAGCATATCTGAGAGAAGTCAGTTGCTATCATAGCACTGGAAAAAAAAGAACCCAGATAATCTAATTTAGGAATTAAAGATTCTAACCCTTATCAATAAACCTTCATTTAAACAGGCTTACAAAGACAATGGATGGTACACAATAAAACACATTTTGCTGATGGTTCCATTAAAAAAAAAACACTAATAAGACATTAACTTCTAAAAATCTAAGTTTGGGTTCTGAAATAGTCAAAATGACCTTGCCCCCATTAATCAGAGTCATAGAACAATTGTTCGTTGGGTCACACAGTCAGAACGCATTGTCCCAGTTGGCACTGTACGCTGTGAAGTCTTGTCTTCTGACATGGAGGCTGTGCACTTAGGGCAAGAGCATTGGTTTGGTCCAGGAGGAAGATCTGGGTCCACCTCTGACAAGTAAGTGATCTTGAGCAAACCAACTTACTTTTTGGGGCTTCCATTCCCAATCTATTGTTTGAAGCAGTTTGGCTGGGTGATTTCCAAAGATTCCAGATTCTTTGTGCCTGTGCCAAGATGCTGCTTGTACTGATGCCACTGACTTAGCTAGTTATTCAGGTGTGAGGTCTTCTTAACTGGGCCACTCTGAGTGAGTCTGTTGTCAATAACCATAGGAATTCTAGAAGATTTTATATTGTGTCATGTTGTGTTGTCACTTCCATTCAGGGAAACCGCAGTGGCACATACATTTATGACCAGATTTCAATATTTTTAGTCACCAGAAAAATAGTAGATCCTATATGGATATATTTTTAAAGATTTTATTTATTTATTTTTAGAGAGAGGGGGAAGGAGAGAGAAAGGGAGAGAAACATCAATGTGTGGCTGCCCCCCACTGGGGACTTGGCCCACAACCCAGGCATGTGCCCTGAATGGGAATCGAACTGGCAACTCTCTGGTTCACAGCCTGCGCTCAATCCACTGAGCTACACCAGCCAGGGCATATATGAATATTTTAAGGCATATAAAAAAATATTTTCAACAGCTGGACAAGATTCTGTCAGCTTGAACTTGGTCCTGCTTTACTGAATCTTAGATTATTATTGTATTAATCTTCTCAGTCTAAACTAACTATAGGCCTTTGAGATACACTAAATTTATATCAAGAACATACTTAAGATTCAAACTATTCACTCCAAAACCTCAAATACACCAGTCACCCCAGCAGTCAGGTGTTCCCATAAGGAGGTAATTAAAGCAGTTTGGCTTCGTATTTTAGACGTTATTTCAGGCTTGTGACCAATAAGATATTTGCACCTCTGCACTTGGTCACAGGTACATAAACTAGCTACCACATTATGTAACAAATTAATAAGTTACTCCATTTTATCATTAAATACAACAAACCTATAGTATCTCCAAATGTAAATTGATGAATGGATACTCTATCATCATCCATTGTTTATATCCTTTTCAAATCTCATCCCAATAGTTTTATCTTGAACACATTGTAGATGCATTCCTGAGTTCCAGTCTTTTTCAGGTAGAGAGAATTCATATTGAAAAGGAAATACACCCAGTCTACTTAAAAAAAAAGTTCCTAAGTCCCAAAGTGAATTGGATGGCAGTGCACACACTCACAAGGCAAAACCGTGGATTATTTCATTTGTAGTAAAACTGAGTATTGGAGCAACCCGCTCTGAGTCCGCAGATTTCCAGTGCGGACACTGTCCACAGCACTTCTTTCCTAAATCACTGTTTGGGGGGTAACAAGGTCATTTGAGATCTGGAGGACGGTGCTAATATCTCTAGTGTAATATGTGCAAAACTACTTACTTATATCATTAAATGTAACTGATAAGTTCAGGCAATTTAGGATCATTTAAGGCGTAAACTGCAATATTTATTCCTCTACATATCCCATCACTAGCCACTCATTGAAGGCCCTGGAGTTCTATTACACCACCAAAGACAGGAACCATAAAACCGAGAAATCAACTAATTGTTTCCAGTAAAGTAATGCTTCTTTCCCTTTAGTGGTTCAAATTATATTTGGAAAGCCAGTGTCTTGTGACACTGTCCTATATATTTGTGTGATGTTTTTGACCCCTCTGCTCACAGTCCTGTCAGCCTAAGCAGCTGTAGGGTGTATGGTGCTCTCATTCTTAAGTGACCGCAGAGCAGACAGGCGCAGCGCTCGCGATTGCTCCCCACGCTTCCTGCCAACTAGCATGGGCACAATGTCGTGAGGCTCTCTTTGAACCAAAGCGCACTGTAGTTTCTTTGCTTATTTTTTTAACCACATGAATGTTATCTTACCCATAATTAAAAATACATTTTTATAAACACTATGTGGGGTGTAGAAAGGTGTGGGAGCTAAGAGGACAAAGAAATGAGTCTTATAGCTAGCTGCATAGGCACTGCAGTGCTGAGGAAAGAAACAGAAGTGCTATGTATGCTCCATCCGAAAAGTATCTGATATGGTAATGGCGGTAGAGAAAATATAATGAATATGCAAAGTAGGGAGACACTGAGTATATATTTTTAAGATTCTGGAAGACAAATTTGGAAGCTATTTTTTTCAGGTCTACTTGGAAAGTGTCTTTATGGAGGGGAATGTGACGAGGGCTTTCAGTGATTTCCTGGACACTTGTCATGCTTAGTGACCACCCAGCACCTTTTGAATACCCTTCCTATGTTGGGGGAACTTTCTACCTTGTAATCCCTGCTCCCCAGGGTACAGGCCCTGAGGTACAGGCCAGGAACTCACCTTCTCCACCTTCTTTGTCACTGGAGTTCAGTGACCATGCAAGAGGGAGACCCTGCCTGTGATCAGTCCACTCTGGGGAAGGTGTTCTCTGGGGTCCCGCACCCCCTGCAGGTGGTGCACACTGGCAGAGCATAGTACCTGCCAACAAGTTTCCTCAGGAGCAGCCGGCAGTGTCATGGGGCATTCTTGTTGCCTGGCCATCCAGGCTGGTTTTCTGGACCCACTGGGGATTCTGTGAACTACCAACTATCCTTTAAAGTTCCATTTTCACTTAAACTAGCTAAAATTCATTCTGTTGTTTGCAACTAAGAGCCCTCAGTGATACAGGCTACACTCCACTACATCACTGTTTCATCAGAGGGCACAGTTGGTTTTTGAACTGGACACTTCTCCATTGTGTGGGATGGTTCTGTGCGTTGTGGGAAGTCACCATTCCTGATCCCCTGACGCTAAATTTCAGGAGCAGATGCCAGGTACTGTGACACCTAAATGCCACCTCCACTTTCCAAATCTCCAGATGGGGGCAACATAACCCCCAGGTGGGGAGCACACTATTAAATGGTGCTTTTCTAGTGCACACGAGCATTAAAAATGCTCCTTCTTGTGGCCACTGCATGAGGAAATAATTGAGGTCTTAAAGAGTCCATGCTCACTAGGGCTCTGTACACGCTCTGTCAGGCACCGGACGGAAACAGGAAAATGTAACTGCCTGCATGTTATGGATCAAAACACCTAGTCGGTGCACACGGAAAATGGCTGAGTGGATCCATTGTGTTGGAGTGAGTGAGGCCATTGTTGAAAAAATTTTCTTTTTCTTTGTTGATAGAATTCTTTGGGCAGAATTAGAGATTGTAAAAATGATGATCTCCAAGTTCTAAAACAATACGTCATATTAACATGCTTATTAGGTCATGTAGTAGCAAGGCTATTTCTCTTGCATTTTATAAAAACATAAATTAAATATTTTGCATCATATGCTG